CGTGCCTGTAATCCCAGCTACTCAGGAGGCTGAGGCAGGAGAATTGCCTGAACCCAGGAGGCGGAGGTTGCGGTGAGCCGAGATCGCGCCATTGCACTCCAGCCTGGGTAACAAGAGCAAAACTCTGTCTCAAAAAAAAAAATAAATAAAAATAAATAAATAAATTTAACTGAGCATGGTGGTGCTCACCTGTAGTCCCAGCTACTTGCCTGTCATCTCAACTACTTCGGAGGCTGAGGCAAGAAGTTCCCTTGAGCCCAGGAGTCCAGGCTGCAGTGAGCCATGATTGCACCACTGGACTCCAGTTTGCACAACAGAGCAAGACCTTGTCTCTAAAAACAAACCAAAGAAAACCCTTCAAAAGTTACTAACCCATGGCCAGATTGATTCATGTGTACCCCACTCATGGTTCCTCACTGCTCTCTGAACTGGATGACTGTAGTTTAGTTTAGTTTTAGAGATGTGGAGATCTTGCTGTGTTGCTTGGACTGGTCTCTAGCTCCTGGCCTCAAGCAGTCCTCCTGCCTCAGGCTGCTGAGTAGCCGGGATTACAGGTATGGGCAACATGTCCAGTGCAAACTGGATTATGTTAAAGGTGGTATAAGATATATTATTTTATTCCTGAGTATCTAGTTATCTATCTCCAAATGATTAGAGGAATTTCCCCGTTATCAAACTACGATGCTATTATCATATCTAAAAGGAAAAGACAAGGTCAGTAGTTATTTCCCATTGTCTCCTGCATTTTGTTTGGAGTGGGTTCCATCAGGATTTAGATAGGACTCCAGTCCAGCACGTGGCTTCTGTGTGGCCCTCCTGTGCTTGTTCACCCACCCGGAACTTAACAGCTCTGAGACCTAATGGTACCTGAGAACTAATAGTAGACTCATACTTTTGTTATAAGGATAAAGATAATAAATGTAATAAGGTGCACACTTCACTAAGTCATGGTGCACTGCTGCTAATATTATGATTGTCATTATTGTTATGCGTTATTCCCTAGCTGAGATTATAGATAACTTAGCAGTAAGGGCCCCTATTTAAGCCTATTTTTAATTAACTTATTTATTTTTGATTAATTAATTTAAAAATTATTATCATTTTTTTTGCTGACACCCAGTACTTTATTAGTGGGGAAACTCGCCTTGTTCTGGCAGAGAGACTGGGATGGACAGGACTAGCGCTCATCTCGAGGGGGTATGTTCTGGAGGATCAGGTGTTCCTCCTTGTAGGTTTAGAGGAAACACCTTCATAGATGAAAACCCCCCAGAGGGCAGTGCTGCAACTGCCAGGCAGTCGGGGTAGGAGGGGCACCCTAGGCATGGCTGGACCGTTGGGACAACAGGGCTTGGATGTCAGCCTCAATGTCAATGGTCTGGAAGCGCAGCTGTACCTGTATATGGGGGCACCGGTAGGGCCATCCAGGAACTTCTTGAAGTTCCAGGCAACATTGTTGCAACACACCAGAGACACTGGAGACCAGGTCGGTCATGAGTGCCGTGGCGTCGTTGCTGGGCGTTGGCAGGGCCTCCGCAGGAAGGTGAAGAGAGGGTGCAACTTTGCACCATTGACCTGGAACTTCCCAAAGAGCGAGAAGTTGGGCTGGAACTCACCACCAGGTCGGACGTACTTTAGGGAATTCAGAATCTCTTCGTTCTTGGCGTTCTCCTGATGCCCAAACTGGTTGCACGGGAAGCCGAGCACCACCAGGTCACTGGGCCCAAGGCGCCGCTGCAGCTTGTTCATCTGGGTGTAGTCCCGGACCGTGGTGCCTCAGAGGGACGCCACATTCTTGATAAGCAGCGCCTTGCCCCGCAGGGAGCTTAGGATTACAGGCTCCCCGCCGGCCATGGGGAGCGCCAAGAGGGCCAAGAGGGCGTACACCAACTGGGCCGCCGGGCTGCCGCTAGCAGAGCAGCACACGTGGCGCAGCTCTATTATTACTATTATTTGAGAGGAGTCTTCCTCTGTTGCCAGGCTGGAGTGCAGTGGTATAATCTTGGTTCACTGCAACCTCCGCCTCCTGGGTTCAAGAGATTCCCCTGCCTCAGCCTCCTGAGTAGCAGGGACTACACGCGCGCGCCATCTAAAAAATTAGACGCCTGGCTAATTTTTTGTATTTTAGTAGAGATGGGGTTTCACCATGTTGGCCAGGATGGTCTTGATTTCCTGACCTTACCATCCACCCGCCTTGGCCTCTGAAAGTGCCGGGGTTACAGGCGTGAGCCACTGCGCCAGGCCGATTTGTTTATTTATTTTTATTTTTTGAGACAGAGTTTCGCTCTGAGCCCAGGCTGCAGTGCAGTGGCATGATCTCGGCTAATGGCAACCTCTGCCTCCTGGGTTCAAGCGATTCTCCTGCCTCAGCCTCCTGAGCAGCTAGGATTACAGGTGTGCGCCACCACACCTGGCTAATTTTTGTAATTTTAGCAGAGCTGGGGTTTCACCATGTTGCCCAGGGTGGTCTCGAATTCCTGATGTGATCTGTCTGCCTCGGCCTCCCAAAGTGCTGGGATTACAGGCATAAACCACTATTTTATGTGCCCAGCTATTTTTTACTTTTTTGAGATGGAGTCTCGCTCTGTCACCTAGGCTGGAGTACAGTGGCTAGATCTTGCCTCACTGTAACCTCTGTCTTCTGGATTCAAGTGATTTTCCTGCCTCAGCCTCCTGAGTAGCTGGGGCTACAGGTGCATGCCACCATGCCCGGCTAATTTTTGTATTTTTATTAGAGACGGGTTTCACCGTGTTGGCCAGGATGATTTCAATCTCCTGACCTCGTGATTGACCTGCCTTGGTCTCCCAAAGTGCTGGGATTATAGGTGTGAGTCGCCATGCCCAGCCTTAGTTTTTTGTATTATTAGTAGAGGCAGGGTTTCACCATGTTGGCCAGGCTGGTCTTAAACTCCTGACCCTCAGGTGATCCGCCTGCCTTGGCTTCTCAAAGTGCTGGAATTACAGCCACCATGCCCAGCCCTGTTTTTATTTTAATACTTAACAAGATATCTGGCCCCTGTGGGTGATCAGTAGCTTATTTTATCTTATTTTATTTTATGAAAAGAACCCCCAACGAGTTCTTTCTAGCAACACGCACACACAAAAGAATAATCAGCAATGAAGTATAGTCACAAGTAGTGTTTAATCAAACATTGAACTAAATTTCCCGAGACTGCCAGCCTCATGCCACCACACTGTTTTTCTCCATGGCACTTTCTCCCTTCTTACACCCCTTCTTATGGCTTGTGTGTTACATTATTGCTGTGATCTTTCTCCTGCCGGTAGAATGGAAGCCTCATAAGGACAGATTGTTGTCTGTTCAGTTCCTTGATGTTTCCCAACATCTAGGACAGTGCAGGCACATGGCAGTGCTTAGTAAATGTGCGTGTATGACTGCGACCTCTGTTCTCTGTGAGACTCTCGGGGTGGCTTCAGCTGGTCAGCCTTTGGGGTCAGTAATGACTGGATGAAAGCAGCTGACGGTCTTCTCCCATCTGCTTCCTCCTCCAGGAGTTTTCACCAAGCCTGTGTCCATTTCTGGGGCTCCCCTTTTTACACTGAATAAGAACAGTGTTTGCTGTTTTTCCAACTCTCTTGGCAAAACTGAAATCCTCACCCTCACTTCCCTTTGTTTTGCCCTTCATATTGTTTGACAGCTTTGAGGGTTTGTCTAAGGCAACTGTTCTGGTGAAAATTGGTGCCTGTTGCTGGGCGCGGTGGTGGTGCATGCCTGTAATCCCAGCACTTTGGAAGGCCGAGACGGGTGGATCACCTGCTGTCAGGAGTTCGAGACCAGCCTGACTAACATGATGAAACCCTGTCTCTACTGAA